GTGTCCTAGAATCAAATAGAGGACTTCTTTTAATATTACATGGCATAAAACTCTCTAAGGCTGAGTGTCCTAAGATACAAAGTAAAAGGGAAAAGATGAATCGTATTTCTTATGCATCAACCATAAGATCTAACAAGTATGTCATGTTATATACACGACTTGATAACTCATATGTTTTGAGCATATGCGGTAGATATCAAGTTGATCTAGGTGAGAAATATCTGGATTGATGTAAAAAACATTTTTAAATATTTTTTTTAATCTATGGAAGAGATGAACTAGTTGTGAAAAGATTCACATATGCTACTTTTTAAACTAATTTTGATGACTTTAAGTCTTAGTCAAGATTTATTTTCCTGTTGAATGATGGTGTTGTGAGCTAGAAGAGTTCCAAACGAAATAGTAGCCAACTCAACAATTGATGTTGAATACATTGTAACCACGTAAGCAACTAAGAAAGCTCGTATGGATTCATAAATTTTTATCTAGACTACAAGTTGTTCTAAGTGTTATTAATCCTATAGTACTATACTATGACAACAATAGAGCCATAGCGGAAGCTAAAAAACTAAGATCTCATCAACATTCTAAGCATATACTATGAAATTACCACATGATTAGAAAGATTATCGATCGCGGTGATGTAAGGACGAGAAAAGGCCCATACCGATGACAACATAGCAGATCCATTGACGAAGCGTTTTTTATAGCAAAAACATGAAACCCTTGTTCGATCTTTGGGTATTAATGACAAGACTTATTGGCTCTAGTATAACTTAAAGATTGTTAATGTAGGTACTAAAGATACAACCTATTTGGATGATTTGATATATTGTATCATTATATTTTTAATATTAATAAAAAAAGTCTTTTTATTAATTTTTGTTATTTGTGATTTGATAGAATTAGATAGAAGCGCATATGATATACATTGCATTAATGATTGATCAATAGATGTGAGACAAATATTAATGCACTTAAATAATATTATTAAATATCTTAAGTCATAGCATTGTCAAAATTAGACATCGACAATATAAGGTAAAACTTATAAGTGTTATGCTCTTGCTATAAGATATCAATAGAAGGTCTCACACCTACCGACATAGTGATGCCAAAGCAAGCACATAGGTAAATAATGTTAGAGAACATATCACCTGGACGTGACTCACCATAAGAATCTATTTGGTATATTCCGTGGGAATCTCTATGAGATTGGTACAAGTAGTCTTTTGACTTGAAATCATTATGGTTATCTTATTAGAGGATTGGTGTAATTTGATATTCATTTTGATGGGTTCAATAAAGTGCTATATATGGATGATTCATTAGGTGCATTAAAAATTTAATAGAGATAGGTGGATAACTAAGATAGGACATGTCATTCTTTATATGCTAAAGGAGTTATCATATTATACTTCGATGAATGTTTGCTCGAGAATCCGTAGCCACACTAGAAGTATACCAATAAAGCATAGTCGATTTACTTGAAAGCTAAGATGTTTGGAGATTGAAAAAAACTTGTGTGGTCCTAATCGAATAGATGATAAACTAAGTTCGAGATGACATTATGATAAATTAAAATAAGGACTCGAATTATATGAAAACCATACTTGTGAAATGTTATTGTGGATCAAGTAATCCTTCTAGAGAATTCGGTAGTCATAATACCTTGGCGAGAGACCAATCTTGATTTATGTATCGAGAGATAAAAGAAGTGTCTTTTACTTCTCGATATAATACTAACATATCTAGGAGTGTATTGAGTCACACGCATAAGTTTAAATATTCATATGAAAAAAGAGAAGCGAAGATTTAAAAAATCCGTTTTCTATTTCGAAACCAATTTCCTAATTTGAAAATCAATTTTTTTATTTGGAAGTTAGTTACCTAATTTGAAAATTAATTTCCTATTTTAGAAATTAGTTTTCTAAAATAGAAGTTAATTTTCTAATTTAGGTTTAATAAAATATAAGGGTAACTTAGAAAATTATTTCCTAATATGAGCCTCTCTAAAAATATCTAATCCAACTTATTTGAATAGTCTAAATTAATTATTGAATTATTAGTTTTCTAAAATAGAAATTAATTTTCTAATTTAGGTGTAATAAAATATAAGGGTAACTTAGAAAATTATTTCCTAATATGAGCCTCTCTAAAAATGTCTAATCCAACTTATTTGAATGGTCTAAATTAATTATTGAATTATTGGGCTAAAGGAGTTTGGGTCAATAAGCTTAAGTAAAAGCTCGTAAGGTATTTTAAGTGTAGGGATAATATTGAAAACTTAAGGATAAAGTTTAGGATTTATGATGATAAGATCAAACAAATTCCACATAAGTTATAACTCTTTAACTAAAAAGAAGTTGTTGACGCCTATATAAGAGAGAGGAAAGGAGAAGCTAAAAAGAAGAAATAATAACAAAAAAGGGAAAAATTTACGTCTCTCCCAAAAGGAAAACAAACCCGCCACCTTCTCTTACAATATTGCACTAAGTACCTTGTGTGATTTCTTGAGAGAAAAAATATACATAGTAAAAAAATAGGGTTGACATTCTAGATTTTTCTAACGCTTCTTGTGTGGTGGATCATCGAGTAGAGACTAGATGCTCGGACGATTCTATCCATGAATTTGATTTTATGCTACAAGAGGTAGCATTTAATCCATCTTGTTTATATATAGTTAGTTGATTCAACGACTGATCTTAAGATTTTAAATGGAGGAGAACAAAATTTTTTTGTTTATTTCGTACCTCCATAGGATGCACGATCCTTCATTGGCAACATTGTTTTTTTCTTTTCTTGTCTTCAATTTTTTGTATTGCTTTTCCTTTTTTTTTCCTTCTATTCTTTTTCTCTTTTAAAGTAGTTACTAGGGTTTTCTTAACAAGTTCCCGTTGAACCATTAAAGAAAAACATGCAATACACAAGGCACTAGGAAAAAAACATTTTGTATTTTGAAAATATTTATACCAAATATAAAATAAATTTAAATTGGTAAAAAAAATATGGTTTGACAAAAAATGATAGAACTATTAACTAAAACATGTCTATAATAGATGAGGATAACTTTGGAAAATGCCTTGAAATAAGATAAGATTAATTATGAAGACTCCATTCAACAATAAACATGATTAAGTTGATAACGACTTTGAAACTTGAGAACAAATAGGAACAAACAAATAGCGATTTTGAAAATCATTTGAAAAAATCCATGTAGATTTTTTTTTAGAGTTTTGAAAGATAGGGAAAATCATATCAAAATACAATTATTTTGGATTTTTGAAAGAAATTTTATGAAAATTAAGATATTAAAACTTGTTTGTGACGAGAGGGAAGAGTTTTCTCGTGATGGAAACATGTCCAGGATACTTTGATAGCGAAAGATAGAATGCATGTTCAAAGTTGGTTTTGTATCAGACAATTATTAAGACACAGAATTATTTTGTTGTTTTGCAATGATGAATTCATGAAGTATAGAGTTACCTTGGGAACAAAAAAATAGGTTAATCGCATCAAACGTCCCTCTACTCTTCTTATTTTCTTAATATGGCTCATGTATTTTTTTTTTATTCAATCCCTCTCTATACTCTTCAATTTTTCTTAATGTGGTCAATTTGATTGGTTTTTGGTTAATCTTTTTATTAGAATTGACATATGCAAAAAAAAAACTCCACATGGCATGACATATCAAAATTAATTATCCACGTGGCTAAAACTGAAAAAAAAATTCAAAGAAAAGAAAAAAGAACATTTTGAAGAAAATCTCTCATTCTTTTTTTTTTTTTTCCCTCATAAACCAAACAACATCAACAACCTTCTCTTCTAGCTTTATCTCTCCACCAACTACTTCAGCCACCATATAATGTTGATTTTGTGGGTGTACTTGAAGAGGAAGCCAAGCGTTTTGAAGAAAATCTCTCTCTCTCTCTCTCTCTTCTCAAAAACCGAACAACATCAATAACCCTTTCTGGCTTCATCTCTCCACCAACCACTTTAGCCACTATAGAGTGTTGATTTTGTAGGTGTACTTAAAGTGGAGGCCAAGTAGATGGAAGCAGACCGAGAAGACGCCCACACCTTCTATTTTTATACTCAACATTTTTGTCTTTGATCTGAATCTATTGTTGGTGGTGGTGTTGGGACTGAGCAATTTTTATTCAATGTCAATGAAAAGCCCATGTGCCACGAATGAATTAAATATTTATAGCTTGAAATATGCAGTTTGATTCTATGTTGTTCCTTGAATATTTAATTAATGATTTTTTTTCAATGTTAAATTTTTCAGGTACTATATGCTTTGCTTATGGAAAGTTAGCAAAAAAATGGACCTAAAGGGATTTGGCAGTAGAGCACAAAAAATGAGGGGATCATATTAAGTTTTGTTTCTTGAAACTGTGATCGGTTTTGTCTTTGATTGTTCTTGAAATGTTTAGTTGCAAAGGTAAGAATCGTAGATTTTTGAAGAAAAAAATATTTTCTTGAAAATGTTTTTTTCCTGTTCTTCGAATGTATATATACCAACAATAATGATTGAAAAACATTCTGACGAGCCACATTAAGAAAAATTAAAAAATATAAAAAGAGGTTGAATAAAATAAAAACACATGAGCCACGTTAAGAAAATTTAAAACATAAATACACATCTTATGCGATTAATCCGTAAAGAACTTTGAAGATTCCTATATATATAAAGTATGTAATCAAATCTTTTAGCTAATTCAATGTATGGCTATTTAAAAGCTTTCGAGAACTGAAGACCCTAACGACGATCATGAAATTGGAATCGTAGATGTCAGCAACACTTAGGTGCAATATGGAAAAGAAAAGGTATCGTATGATGGTTTCTTTCATATTAATAATCAAACTAACGTACTTGATATATGCAAACCAAACTTGCAAAATGGCGAGCATATGCCATCTTGGTAAAGCGTAGGAGTATAATAGAGAAATTTTTATTATTTCCTATAAGGGCGATAAAAATTAAGAAGGAAGTAATCATGAGTCATATTCCTAAAGTTGGTTACATGGACCGTCAAGCTAAAAGTTTTTCTTTTTATTTTTTTTCCTTTAGTTAATCCTATGTTGATTTTATTGGAATTGAAAATTTTGGTCCAAGTATAAAAAGTTAATGTAATTATGTCATTGGTGAGATTGTATTTAATGTTTTATATAGCAAGCTATTGTGAAAAGAACTTGGTCATGCTGCTATATTCCAAATATCTATTTCTTTGGCATGGAAGTGTTCAATTTCTAACCATGAACTCGAGAGCGGACTTTTCCTCGAGTGGGAGAGCATGACGTGGGAAGTGTCTCAGTTTTGGAGTTAACTATTATAATTGCAATATTATTTTACTTGCTAAGCTTTTCTAGAATTTATTTTCATTTTATTTAGGCAAATTTTATTAGGAAATTAGTACTATAGGATTCTATTTTTTATTTTATTTAAACTTTACCGTTCAATATTAATAAGATTTTCTAGTTTTCAATTTAAAGAATTGCAATAGCCTTTTGGAAATTAAAGATACGATTGTTGAATAACAATTGAGTTTCTTTTTTTTTTTAATTTTTTACTATAATTTTGTTGCGTTTTTTTTTTAAGGATTTTTGAGCATGAAAAATCTCATATTATTTTTTATATACGATTCACTATCTATTATGAAAACTAATCTGAAAATATTTACAATTATATAAAAAAATAGAACATCGAATCATATCCTAATAATGAATGCTAGGTGTCGTAAAAATCTATTTGGCAAGTAATTATCGGCATAAGTAGTAGTTTTCAACAATATTTGGCTTCAGACTTTCAGTCGTTAGGTCATCAAAAACCTAGTAGGCAAGTAAAACTAAATGATCATATTGTTTCTAACAATTTTGGTTCAGTTCTTTATTAACCAAACATATAAAAACAACAAATCAAATCTGAACAAAATTATTGTTTGGTCATTTGATTTTCGATTTTCGATTTCAGTTTAAATTGATTATTTTAAAATTTTTTAAATAATGTAAATAAATCAAAAACATCATCAAACTGTCCTATATTTATAATAATGTATTGATTCTTTGGTTTATTTACGTTGTTTTAAAATAAAAAATAGTTTTCAATTTAAGCTGAATCAAAATTTTCAAAAACCTTATTTGAACTGAAAAACAAACAAATATTTCGTTCATTTTTTTAATTTTTGAGTCAAAAATCGTATTTGAATTTGGTTTGATTTTTTATTTAAATTAAATAGTGTTCATCTATACGTACATATGACTTTATTTAAGTTTTTATTAAATAGATTCCAAAAAGATAACTAATTAGTAGAATTATCTTTATTATAGGAATATGTATGTAATGATAAGATTTTGTAAAACTAATTAGAGATTTAACTAATCAGTAGAGTTGTTTTTATTAAATTTGTGGATAATAATATCCTAATTTGTTATGAATCTTGATATTATCATCTTCAAAAAAAAAAAAAAAAACATACACACACCCACATCAAAATCGCAATAAATCCTAAAAGCTCTAAAACAAATAAATACTTAAAAGATTATAAAAAAAATTGAGATCTAATATATATATATAACAAAAACATGTTATTCATCATAATATTTTTGTGTAAAATTAAAAAATCATCACGAGTCTTGCCTTTGTTTTATACATCAGAATCTACATAGTACGTTAGTTACTTCTAATAAATATCTTGCATTACTATAGTATTAATTACCAAAAAATTAAAATAGAAACAAGTAGATTTTTTTCTAGATAAATGCAATTCTTTTTTTATTATTATTCTAAAAAAAGAGAGAAGAAAAAATCAAATACATAAACATATACAAACCAGAGACTACTTACTAGGTTTGTTTCGTAGTTTGTTACTGTCGTGAAGTAAACAGTAGAACGTTTAAAAAAAATTGAGGTCGGTTGTATTTTGGTGGCAGGAAGACCGAGACAGAGAGAGGGCGGACGAAGTAAGTTGGCTGTTGTAATGGGAAGGGTATTTCTAGTAGAATTAGATGCAGCCGGTGGTGATTGTTACAGGTGCAAGTTCTGCGACACCCCTCTTGCTCTCGCAGATCATCTCCTCTCCACGGTATCTCTGTTTCTTTCTTTCTTTCTTTCTATCTTTTTTGCTTTTGGTAACAATTAATTAAAGATTTTGAATTATTTGAAATGATTGAAAGATTGATTGAACTGATCATTTTGAAGAGATGGAGAATGGGTTCTAGGGTTTAGCTGGGTACTTTCAAAATTGGGTTTTTATGTAATTTGGATCAGGGGAAGCAATTTAAGTTGTTTTGTCGTGGGTTTGTTTCTTTCCAGCAGATTTAGATGTTGGATCTAGCGTGCATGGCATGGATTACGTTTTTTTGTGTATTTGGGTTTACTTTTGTTAAGGACCTAAAATACAGAACTTTTTAGGACAATATTCATGCTTTCATAATTGTAGTTTGCAAATTTGTTGCCAGGGATAATATGATCTGTTTGGCTGAATTTTGTTTAAGATTCTTTAGGTCTGGATCGTGATTAAGTAATGATTGAAGGAGTTGAGGAAAATGTTAAAAATTCTATGGAGAAATAATAAATTTTTGGAGCTTATATTAAAATTTTTGATAAAAACCAATTACATTCCCCATTGTTTCTTTTTCACGTACGTGAGTATATCCATTAAGTTATCTTCTTCAACCTTTCTTGACTCTATGCTTGTTATGGATCAGACTTTCAATTGTCGCAAGGGGAGGGCATACCTATTCAGCAATGTGTAAGCTCTTATAATCTTTTCTTTAGTTTTTATATTTTTTGGAGTATGATTTTGTCTCTTGGCATTCGTATCGGTGGTTGAGAACTGGGTGAATGTTGGTGTTTTGTGGTGGGGGAGAGGGGAGTAGGTTGATTTTAATGACCAATTCCTAGCTGGCCTTGATGAAATACACAACATTGTGGTGTTTTAGCGACCTCTTTGTTGTTTGTAGTAAATGAGATATAGCCATCTGCTGCCTAGATGGAGAGAATCAATTATGCTGCTTGGGGTTGTGTTTTATAAACCAGCTGATCTGCTGAATCATCCACACAAACAGGATTTTCAGCTAGAGCCTGAAAGTCCCTCAATCTTGCCCCACTTGAGCGATAATGGAAAAAATTCGATCTTTATATTTTGGTAACATTCCAAATCTTATAACAACGATATTTGTGAGGATCTTGATATTCGAATAAGTTCAGTAGCGTGTTGATTGCAATTGTGCGCTATAATGTGCTAGAATCGATAAGTGAAACAAATAATAAAATTCAATTTTTTTCCTTTCATACAGCCTGAAAAATAAAGTGTATGATCCATGCTGGAGTTAACCTTTTCCCTTTCTATAGGGTCAATATATCAGTTGGACCACCCGAGGAAAGGTTGATGATTTCTGGTATGCATACTGTAGAAGATATATTTTGCTGTTGCTGTGGGCAACTACTTGGTTGGAAATATGTAAGCTCCTCCATCTCATTTGTTGTTTCTGATAGCAAGTGATGCTCTTGGCACATGCTGTGATCTTCAATAAGAAGTGAAAATATAACTATAACACTATTGTGAAATGTTACAGACTCTAAAGTTCCAAAGGTTCTTCAAGCCTAAGCACATAATACAGGCATATGCTTGAGCAAATTAAGGCACATGTCTTTGAAACAAAATGTGATATGTTTATGGGAGAAAAAATCATGGCACGCAATGGGAGAAAAGTTTAAACAGTTCTATAATGATATATTTAGCTATCAGCTCTAGCAGTAGAGAATTGTTCTAGTGCACCAAGGTTATAAATACAAACCCTATATCAACAAGGCAAAAGATGTTACTTTTCCTTTGTTTATCATCTCTTTCTTTCTTTTATCCCAGGCCGTAGTTACAGGTTCATTTTTTTGCAGTTAATTGCTTCTCTTGTTCAGATACCAAAATGATTATGTAATCAGAAAGAAAAAAATTACCGCATGCGTTGCCCAGAAAATAAAATTGCAAATATACATTTGCTTTGCATGTGTGTCTAGAGAGAATGAATTTAATAAAGTAGAATACTAAATAGTGGAAGCGTTTGCCCAGGAACAGAAAATAGTGGAGTCATGCTTTTTTTTTTTTTTCCCTCTTGTTTGCTTCCTGAAGCCTCTTGATCATGACTCTGAGCCCATGAAGGTGACTTCCCTTATGGTTTTGAAGTCCGTTGGTTTTGTTGCATAAAAAAAAAAAAAAAAACCTAGACAGCTTTATGGACATTTCAAATCAGCATAAGATTTCCCCACTGACTTGATTTTATTTTCACCGAGAGTGGGTGGAGTCTTAACTTCTTTGCATAATCACTTTTTCTGCTGGGACAGGAGAGCTGTTGTGATCAAGTATATTTTCCAATGTAAACGTGGACATTCTAGATCTCTATCAAGCATGTCTAATAATTGGTCCTCAGTTGACGCGTGTCCATCAATATGATCAGCTTTGGCATAGTCTGCTGCTGCTTAATAACTTGAAAACAAATGGAATTAGTGCCTTATGTATCTTGTTTGTTTGTATGTATGTATAATGCATATCTAAAAGGTGCGTTTTCTTTTTCTCTTGTCATTTTAATCGGAATCCCAGTACTCCAGAGTTTCTTTACCCTTTGTTAAACGTCTATTTTAAATCATGATTCCTGTAGGTATCAGCGCATGACAAAAACCAAAAACACAAGGAAGGAAAGTTTGTTCTGGAAAGGTATTTACATTTTTTATTTGTGATCCCATATTTGAGCTAAAACATTAGATGCGACTTTGTTACGTGCCCCTGTCAAACAGATGGAGGATATCTGCGGAGATCACTGAAGAATTCAATTTGGATGCCCGCCCTCGTTCAAGTGATGGAGAGAATCCTGAGGACTTTGCTGCATACTTGCGAAATGAGTAATGATAATCAAGACAATATACTAGGTTTAGTTCGTATACACAGCTTGAGGAGTTATAAACTGGGGACCTAATATTTGGCTGTTCATAGTCTATAAAGTACAAATAAACCTTGTGGTTCTGAATTTCAAATACTCGAAAGGACTTCAACATTGCGGACATGCTTATTTTATGAAGCGTTTCTATTAAAAGCAGGTTTATTAGAAGTACTGTCTCTTGAAAGGATTTGAATCTTAGCTCATAGCCTCTATTGTGCTTGTCAAATCTCTATTGCAGTACTTGGATTAAAACAAAGAATTATTTGGAGAGACAAACCAAAAAGTATGCTGAATTCCTGATGTCTTTGCTGCCGTAATCGTTAAATGTTTTTTTGGGGTGTGTCGTTTATCATGCCAAACTCTACTTCTCCGTTATCATGAATAAGCTAGTTTAATGTGTTTTTGGCGATACAGTGCAGGTATTTTTGTGTTTTGCAAGTGTTTTTTAATTGAAAAGACATCAAATCGATTTCTTTCTTTCATTTGTTTTAATATATTTGCATCAAAATCATTTTGAAAAGTATTGTTTTTATGCTTTTACAATCTAAGCGCATTTTGAAAAAACATTTTTAAAACTGTCTTATCAAACGGGGTTTTAGGTGTCCTTTCGGTTGCTTTTTTCGAGAACACAGACTTGATTCATATCTTTTGCCTGTTAGGTATTAAAGCACAATTGTTATTAGCTGCTTTTGGTCTAAAAATGGTATTTGGTTAATTTTTTTTTTTTTTTTTAAATCAAAGCAAGTGTTAGTTTGAAAGAAAGTTGTTTTGTTTTTGAAACGAAGTAGGGTGTTCTTATGGGATCTATTTTAAAAAAAAAAATGATAATTTTCTCCATTAATTGTTTTCTTAAATTATATATTTTAAATAGGCTAGTTCTTATGTAATTATATTATTGATATATTATTGTTTTTATTGAATCGATGTGCATGGATATATTTTCATTCTATTTGATTTTTTTTAACTTAAAAATTACTTTTATAGAAAGTTATATCATTTAATACCATTAAAATATTTTTAATATATTATAGTTCTTATTGATCTTTATATATTTCAAAAGCATAGTATAATCTAACCCAATAATACGTAGCTACTTTTAAATATTTATAAGTAGAATACTATAACTATTTATCAAACACTGTTTTTATCTCGCAGCATCGAACAACACATCACAGCAATATCAAACAAATTCAATATTCGAATCATATTTTTTTAGCACACAAGTGACCAAAAAAAAAAAAAAAAAAGAGGAGTTATTGATAAAATATTTGATTACCTTTTATTTAATTCCCCAATAGCTGAAGAGAAAAGGAGGGTTCGTTCAAAATAACAAGAAGTATCAAATAAAATCTGATTGAAATGAAACCCACTTTTAGTTTTCAACATGGCTGGAGCTTTTAAAAGTGGAGAAATTGTTGACGATATAGTTATAGGTGGCTTCCAATCAAGGCAATGGTGGGTTTTGTGGTTGGTCCCCTTGTGCAGATATGATATCTCTCAACCCTTTAATGTTATGTTATCTTGGCGCAGCCTGGTCGGGGCCTAGGACAGGAGTGTGTCCTTGTGCCTCGTATCTTGACACGTTAGATATGCTTTCTTTGTGAAGTTCCTTCGATTTAAAGGATGGGTCCTACCATACCACGTTTTAAGATAGGGTCATAATCATGTTTGACAAAAACGATTTTCATGGTTTTAACCAGAAACTTGGGCAATTTCTGGTCACGTTACTATCAAGTTAAAGAATTATGACCATATTACGTGAATCTTTACAGATAGAGCTAGCTAATACCAATATGAAAGTAGTTCAGAGTTTAGTCAAGAGTCATATTATGTAACTGTTCCTTAAATTGATACCCCTTTTCCCACTTTTCATGATTCATTGTCTCTACCACGCATTATAAAATTATTGTGCAAACGTATAACCTGCTCACCTTTTTAATTTTTTACATATATATATATATATATATATATATATATATATATATATATATCATGTCACCACAATAGTCTGGTCAAGTAAGTCTATCTAACCATTTCTCAATCTCCAACCAAAAAAAAAAAAAACTACCAAATTCTATGTTATTCAATGGTGTGATTCCCGATAATCAAATCATTCTAAATCTACGTTTCTTATGCGAATTTGGGAATTATGGTATTCAATTATCCATGCCTTTTTTTATGACCTTGTGAATCAAATTTTCAGTTTCAGACGGGTGGTTTGTTTTCATTAGTTTAAAAGGTTAAAAATAAAACTAATAAATTATTAGTCTAATAATAAACGAATTGATGTAAAGATGAATTTTTTATTAATATATATAATTCATATTTTAAAATCATATTTATTAAAAATATTTAAATTTTATCGTTTTTATCTTAAATATAATATTTGAAAAAAAAATAACGGGGAACCTCCACCACGACATAACTTCATTTAAAGGAAATGATAATGAGACGAGTGGTTTGTTTTCATTAGGTTAAAGATTAAAAAACAAACCAACAAATTATTGATCTATTAATAAATGAATTAGTTTAAAAATAAATTTTATATCTATGTTATTCAGAAAAATTAAAATTTATCATTTTTTTCTCAAATAAAATTAATTATATTTTTAACGTAGAAGGATAATATTTGAAAAAAAAGTTAAACTAATGATTCAAATACTAAAATCATATTTATTAAAAAAATTTAAATTTCACCGTTTTTGTGTGAAATAGAATATTTGAGAGAGAAAAAAAACCTAAGAAAGTTATCATTTTTTTCTCAAATAAAATTAATTATATTTTTAACGTAGAAGGATAATATTTGAAAAAAAAAGTTAAACTAATGATTCAAATACTAAAATCATATTTATTAAAAAAATTTAAATTTCACCGTTTTTGTGTGAAATAGAATATTTGAGAGAGAAAAAAAAACCTAAGAAAGTTATCATTTTTTTCTCAAATAAAATTAATTATATTTTTAACGTAGAAGGATAATATTTGAAAAAAAAAGTTAAACTAATGATTCAAATACTAAAATCATATTTATTAAAAAAATTTAAATTTCACCGTTTTTGTGTGAAATAGAATATTTGAGAGGAAAAAAAAAAAAACCTAAGATAATGGGAGAAGCCTCCACCATGCCATAGCTTCATTTAAATGAAATGATATATTAACAGTGACCTGTTCAATGAGTGATGATTTAAATGTATTGGTCCCAACTGTACCACACAACTTAAATGGTATGTGATTGATGAGAAAAAAAAAAAATGATAATGAAAGCAGAATGGGTTCCATCATGCCAGCTTATAAATAAACAAACACTCCTGAGTTAGATAGGCCCCACAATATCCATCCTTTTGCAATTGACCATTCTTTAAAAGCCAAAGAACCGAAGAATAAGAGGATGAGATTGCTCCACCCAGCCGTCTCACCCTCCCCGCCTCCTCAACACGTGGCGCACACTCCACTATTTAAAATTATTAAACAATAGGTAGACACTCAAAATCATGCTCTATATAAGTTGTTGTAGCCTACCAATTCTGGCAGCCCATTGTTTTTGTAGTCAAATCATTTTCTTTCCTACCGTGGTTTTGCTAATTCCATACTCCTTTCCTCTTTCCGACCTTCGTCTTTATTCTTTTTTATTATTTGGCCACAACACTGTTTTTCTTTTCTATCAAGAAATCCACCTCATCCCTACCAAATTCATGTTTTCTTTTTATTAATTAATAAAGATATATTACATTTACGAAGAATTTAATTAATTTTTTTAAATGTTATCTTAAGAGTTGGAATTTGGAAAATTAGAACAGAAATGAATATTATTATTATTATTTTTTTTACCATCTAAACTACTTTATGAAAGATTCAATTGGTAGCCTTAAAAAAGCAGAAATATGATTGATTTTTTTGTCTGCAAGAGTGATTAATATGAAAGCAATCGACCACCGTCTTGTTTTCAGAAGAAAAAGTTCTTACCAATATTTTACATACATAATATACCTTTATTGATTGATTAATTAACAAAGACCGACTTGTATCATGTTCCATAGTGATTTCGCACTTTCGTCAATTTTGTTAAACACCTTAACAAAATAAGTTAAAGAGAAAGCAAAAACTATACTTTATTAGAAAAAATAATATTAATTCAATCGTTTTCAAATCTAAATGAAATAATTTATAATTCATAAGATCGTAAAGATCGCAAGACGGATTAGTTTATTTATTCAATCTAAACGGAGTAATTTATAACTTATTCGTAAATCTCAAAAATCATAAAAAATAGATTTTCAAATAAATGTCTATGTAGATAATAAATTAAGAGAAGGCATTGGTTCCTATGTTATTTGTCTTGTAGCTTCCGAGATTGCTCATATCAAATCTGCTTTTATTAATTTTGCTCGAGCTCGACCGAGCAAGTCCTCGATTTCATATTGTATGGTTACAATAATTATAATGGTAAAAGAAAAGTAGAAAGTGACAAGCAAAGACAATGAGCTTTGTAAGAGCCCCACCTCATGATGGGACAGCCTCTGCCACGTCTGTAAAAGTCTCTGGACCAAGTCAAAAAATTAAAAAATAAAAAATAAACCCATGACTCTATATTTTTATCATCATCATCCCTATATACATGATCCACCATGACCCCCATCATGACATATACCCTTTGACATAATGATTCAGTACTAACTTGACAGGACCGTCAGTCATTTGGATCTAGAACGAAACAAGACATAGCAGCTGTAAATAAACTAAATCCTGATTGAAGGACCGTCTTCTAAAACGCTGTCGTTGCGCCGCCACCATCACCGACAAGGTCACGGAGTTTCTGTACGACAGACAGCATGAGAAAGCAAAGAAGAAAAAAGCAACATAAATGGGACATTAGCTTTTCTACACGTAGTTCGTGTTCCATGTTTTTGTGTTTGTTTGTGTGGTGGGTAACGTTAGACCTCCGTGACGCCTCTGCTGCCGACAGATTTGCTGGGGAGAACGGACCCCAATTTATTGTCCAAGAATCGTGCGGTGCTGCCACATTCAGTAATATGGGTCCACTTTAGAAGATTATTTTGAATACGGTTGGAAAAAATCTATTGCATGAGAGATATATGTCATTTAGCTTATGTTAAAATCTTTCAAGTTGGTCGATAAAAGAAAAAAATATCTTCTTAGGAAGGCTACAAAAAGAGTCGCTCCCCTCTTTGAGTTTTACATTAATTTTAATTGAATTGGTTTTATGAAAAACGTGAATTCAAATGGATTTGTTTGATGGTTAATGAGATTTAAGATTTGTTTATTTATTTGATTGTTTGAGTATAAATTTTAAAATTAATTTATAAAAAATATTATTCTTTTGAATGTACAAAATTGTTTTAGAAAATGTGTTTTTAAAATTATTTAAAAAGAGATTTAGTATCGATTGATAATAAATTATTGAGAATCTTTTGAACCACTCCATTGCTTGATTTGTTGATTTCTAATCTAATCTTTACAATTGATTTGATTGGACTGCTTATAAAATAGGAAAGTTTGACGATTTAAGAGCCAACTTATCATTATTCATTTTAATATAATAAACAAATGTTCAATTTTATAAATCTCTTATTATTTTCAAATTGAAAATCCCTTAATCCAATTGACGTATTCATTTTTTCTTTATTTTTACCGATGATTATGAATCAATGGACTTTCTTTAGGACCTATTTTATCGACAAGACGGGATTTATCACTACTTTAGCTACTTTAGTGACTCGGCCAATTATTAGGGATTCTCAATTATTTCATTTTTTTTATGTTAGCAATATATAGTGATCAAATAAGATTATTTTCTTCTCAAAATCTTTTACTTTTTTTCATTTAAGCTAATTCAATAATATTCTTTACTATAAAAAATCCTTAATTTATATTTTTTTTCTAGGGAGATTTTTTTGAAATCATCAAACTCATAATCCATAACAAGGCTTGTTTTGCATAATTTAGTTTTTAACTCGAATGTTTTTTAGGAATTACTCCTCCCACTAATGGTACAATAGTTTTTTCTTAATATTTTATTTACTCTTTTTTTTTTTTTTTTTGGTTGAGAATTTACTCCTCACTTGATAAAAACAAAAAAATGACGGAGCATGCTTAAATACGGAGAGAAGCTCCGGAAAGTTGTTGAACGAGAAACAAAAGCTGAATTCTACTAGTACGTTATACATGCGAAACTCGCACGTCTCTTATATTCTTAGTATCTATTTATACGGACAGAGGAAGAAGAAAAGTTGATTAAAACAACTATCCGGAAAAGAAAAAAAACTAATTACTAACTAATTCGAGTTGTAATCGAAATAATTAAGTGAAGATGTCATGTCCACATCCACTTGTAAGGCTCTCTTAATACTCCCTCTCAAGAAGAGCATGGATATCTTCAATGCTCATCTTGCTAGAAAGAAGATAGAATTGAGCGAGCTACAAAGCCTTAGTGAACATATCCGTAATTTGCGGACTAAATAGTACAAATTCCAGTTTAACTATACCGAATGAACATTTTCTATAATGAAATGATAATCATTTTAAATGTGATTTGTTCTCTCATAAAAGATAGGATCTTTGCTAATATGAATTGCTGATTAGTTATCACATTTAAAAACCACGAGTAAAGACAATAATCAAACCAATTCATAATAACTAGAAACTCATGACTATATACTCTACCTCAGTCGAGCTTCTACTGCTAAGGATTTCTTATTTGATTTTCAGTGATGATAAAACCACCAAGAAAGACATAATAAACGAGTAACTAATCGCGAGAGTCTTGACTACGTACCCAATCACCATCCGTGTAGGCTCGAAGTTGTTCATTAGAATTTGTTGAAAATAAAATACCTTACCCAAGTGTAAGCTTTAGGTATCTTAGTACCACTAAAGGCTACCTACAAATGTGTAACTACATATTTGTCCATGGATTGAGAAAAAATATGAGTGGCAAAACAAATATCATGCTTTGTGAAAGTAAAATACAATAGATTTCCTACCGATTACCTATAACGAGTAGAATACTCTAAAAAATCGGATACAACCTCGATCAATTTGGCATTAAGATCCATTAGAGTTGAAGTTGGCTTAACTTTTAACAAACCATATTCCGTCAACATATCAAGAACATATTGTTTTTTGCATAAGGATATCCTTTTTGGAAATCCAGCTACCTCAATGCTAAGGAAGAACTTTAACTTGCTCGGGTCATTCATCTTGAATTTAATGTGAAGGTACCTTTTAAACTTCTTAATAATTTATGTTGAATTATTTATATTTGATATAAATAAGCAAAGAAATTAAACTTCTTGAATGAATCCTCTTATTGAATAAGGAATAATCTACTTGTGATTCGTAAAAACCCAAAAGATAATAAAGAAGTAGTTAGTTTAGCATACCATTATCCGAATTCTTGTTTTAATCGATATCGATACTTTTAAAGTTTGCAAACTGGTTTTGTATAAACAGGATATTCCTTCAGACGTAATATCCTTGAGGAAGGTCCGTGTAAACAATCTCATTCAAATCTCCATTAAGAAAAACATTATTGGCATTCATTTGAGACAAACACCAATGTTGGAAAGTTGTATGAGTTAGAAATAATCTCATTGTTATCCGTTTAACAACGAAGACTAAAGATTGTTTACAAATCGAAGCCTTCCTTTTAACTCGTAAATCCTTTTCAACCAATTGAGCTTTATACCTATGAATGCTCTCATAAGCATGAAGCTTGACTTTATAAACTCATTTACAACTTACTAAATGTTGATAAGAAGGAAGATGAACAACTATTCAAGTATGATTGTCCTTAAGAGCATCGAATCTAGCTTTCATGGTCGCTTGTTAGTGATCGGAATGCATGGTTTGATAATATGAATGAGGCTCAACAATTATTGAAAGAGAACTAACAAAAGATGTTTAGGTTGATGAACGATATGCTTGTAAAAATAAACTGTTGAATAGGATATTTTGTAGAATAAATGTAAAAAGCCTTATAAGGGAATTTTGTATAATAATATGACAATTAGTTTGGAAGTATGCTTGTCCTATTACTTTTTCTAACGAAACAAAAGGAATAAAGGAATCATAAATTGACTAAGAAAAAATATCATTTGTTATACAAGGAATAAAAACGGAAGAAACATTAGCTAGACAAGACTAAAAAACGAGGAGCATGACAAATGTCCCCATGTACAAAAAGAGGATTGGTAAACTCAAGATTAGAATCGTGAAAAGTAATTGGTATTTTATGTGAAACATTAAGAAAAACAAGAGTATGAGGTACTTGAACGAGTTTATATTAAGAAAAAATAAACACATGCTCATAAAACATAACATCGTTAGATGTGAATACAATTTTATAATCCAAATCATATAGCTTGTATGCTTTCTTGCTAATTGGATAACGAAGAAAAATGCACTATCTAGCTCTAAAGTCAAACTTCTTTCGAAGTTGAGATAGAGTAAAAGCAAAACATAGATAAACAAAGTCTTAAATGAGTGTATATAGGTTTTTTATGGAATAACATTTCATGAGTTATATTGTTTAGAACTAGAGTAAGTAATATATTGATGATGTGTGCCGCGATCAATACCACTTCCTTTTAAAAAATAACCGAAAAAGAAGAATGAAATAGTAAAGCTTTGGCAACAATCAATAAATGCTAATGTTTCCTTTCAATAATACCATTGTTTTATGGTGTTTCAATACGGGATAATTGATCAACAATACATTTTATAGAATAAAAATTTAACAATCCAAACTCTAAGCTATTGTCTAATATGACTTGCTTAATAAGAAGACTAAACCGATTTTGAATGAGATTATAGAAGGCATGAAGTAAAGAAGCAACATTGGATTTAGATTTCATTAAGAAAGTCCAAGTCATTCTAGTGAAACTTCAACTATGGGGAGGAACTATTGATATTTTCCATGTACTAGTTATGAATATAGTCCTTGGATATCAACATTTAAAAGATTTTTTCAAAGTTTGAGTATGAAATGAAAAAGAAAGCCTTTTATGTTTTGACATTGGACAAAAAACATAAGTTTTATTTAAATGTAAATTATTGAGTACGAGTAGGACAATATCAATGTACAATTTTCACCTTTTCGGAAGAAACATAACCTAACCTAAAGTGTCAAAGATCAAAATAATTGTCAACATTGATCGTAAGACTATTGTTAACAAGAGACGAACAAGAAGGAGTAGACTTTGAATTATTTGAAACAATAGATTTTGAAGGTTATAGAGACAATGAACTTTCCATGAAGTAAAGAACACCCTTGACTTTAGCAAGGCCAATCACCATCCATGAAGAAAGTGTTTCAATAAAATAGCAATCATTGAAAAAATCAAGAACATATTTTCTAGTATTAGTAAGGTTAATAACCGAAATGAGATTGAATTAGAATGAAGGAACATAGAGCACATTATGAAGAATCAATTTGAAAGATAAAGAAACAATGTCAAAATGAGTAGCAACTACTTTAGAACGATCCGACATTAATATAAAAGCATGATTGGTGATATAGAATGAACAATAAAATTCCAAAGAATAAATTATATGATATGAAGCTCTTATGTCAATTATCCAGGATTTATTATTCATAAAACATGATGAATATTTGAAATTTGAGTGTAATAGTAAGGAGTTAATTGAGTGAAATCGATTTTAGAGAAATGTATATCAACCAAATTAGAGAATGCGGAGTTGATTGACTAAAACTCTAGATTCTATTATAACAAACTAAGTTGTTCGTACATCCCGAACACTAAGAAAAGCTAGTAGTTATTAAACTTGATGTTGAGTCAAACATGCTTAAGAAAAAAAATTTATAGTTGAATTGTTAATTACTTGCATCATCGTTCACGGTTGCGGAATTAACAAAAGCAAAATATCCTTTAAAATTTTAACCAATAAGAAATCCAATCAAATGGTAGCACCTCTCGTTAGTATGTCCACTTGTTTCCACTTATTTGTATAAACAAAATTATTCATAGAGTCCGTTTCAAAAATCTATTATGGCTACCACAGTTGA